TGATTTTGTTTTGGGTATATTGTTTGGGATTTTTCAACTATATCTTTTATATGTTAAACTATGCATTTTGCTCTGAGATTGTATCTTATGCGTTTTGGTAGGTAATGTTTTCAATAACAAAAACTGTTCAATATTTCTCCTCTAGATGTTCTGCAAATTTTGTTTTATTTATACATTGATGCAACGTTGCTTAGGAGAACACACACAAGAAGCTGCTTAAGAGAGAGTAAACTTTTCTTTCAAAGATATTGGAGTTTTGTGATTTATTTATTTATTTATTTACATCCAAGTTTATTCTATTTTGGCCAAAGAATGTAATGTGGATTCATTCTTCTTTTTGGAACTTATTGAAATTTTCTCTGTGGCCTAACATGAGTAGCAAGGATTATTAATGCTCCATAGTTACTGACTAAAAAATGTATTCATGGGTATAAGAGAATAAACTTGCTAGAGCTTTATTAATTATACTGTTTTTGCTGTGACTACTAGATCTATCCTAGGCTGACAAAGGTAAGTCTGCTGCTTCTGTTTCCATGATCCATTTGTTGCATTTCCTTTTTGCATCTTGCCACTCTAGTATTTAGTACATTCACGCTTATGACCATTACAGCGTTATTCTAAACTGTTCCCTTCAGCACCGGAAGTGCTTGTGGAGTCATTCTGGATCTCCAGTGCTACATTTTGAACAATGTCATACTTTCCTTTCTGGCCATTTGACATGTTTTCAGTTAGTGCTTATTTGTGTGTTGTTTTTCTTTCGGTTAATTTACCTGGAACAGCTAGTTATCCATATAAGAAAGTCCTGTTAGGTCTGATCAAATAATTGAATTGATATCCCTCTCCTGGAAACTGGCTTTTCAGGCCATTTCACTATGGACATTCCCTTTGCTGAGACCACATTTCACTTGTGGCAACCACATTCCATTATCTCCCCTCAGTGTATGCACAGGGAATTCTCCACCCAGAAAAAGCCTGTCAAAAATCCTTTAAAAGCCACTGACTCCCGTCACTGGGTGCTGAAGCCATCCAGGCTCAGCCACCTGGTGTGCAGATGATCAAATAAATTCGTAATCCGTCACCATTCTGGCCTTGTGCATTCCTCCTTCAGCGACCTAACAGTGCCCTGACCAGGAATCAAACTGACCAGGAATTGAAACCGTGACCTCCTGGTTCATAGGTAGATGCTTAACCACCGAGCCACACCCTTTCATATCACTTCCTGAAGAGAGGCTTTGATCACGGCCATCAAATATGGGTGCCCCTGTTGGCATGAGTTGTTAGGCTCTTTCCATGTGGGGCTACCTTCTGCTCACACATCAACTTCTGGTCTCTCCTCAGCTGTGGCCAAGGGGCCGGAAGGTTCTCAACCCACATGGAAAGAGCCATTATAATCTGGACCACCAGCATCAAATGGGGACCCCTCCTCCTAGGGAGCAACAGAATTGGCAGCCATTTCAAGGCTTCTGTAATTGGTACAGACCTTGTGCAGGAAAGAGTAGAGCAGATTTGAGACTTGTCCTTAGGCCTGCAAGTTTGGCCCTTGGTTATTGTTACGGACTGAATCATGTGTCCCCGTCTCCCCACACCCCAAATGTATATGTAAAAGCCCTAATCCCCCAAAGCAACTATATTTGAAGATGAGGCCTTTAAGAAGGTAATTAAGATTAAATAAGGTCATAAAGGTGGGGCCCTAATCCAATAGGACTGGTGTCCTTATATGAAGAAGAGTCCAGAGATCCCTTCCTCCTTGCAGACACAGAGGGAAGGCCATGTGAGGACATAGTGAGAGGGTGGCCATCTACAAATCAGGAGAGTCCTCACCAGAAACCAACCCATGATTTTGGACTTCTGGCCTCCAGAACTATAAGAAATACATTTCTGTTTTTTAAGTCACCCAGTCTGTGGTATTGTGTATGGCAGTCTCAGCTAATACAGCTGGCATCTGGGAACTCAGATCCGGGGAGGGTTTCCACCGCTCTCTAAATGATGAGTGGCTCACTACACCTAAACTGTACAAACACTGGTTTATGCTGAACACCTGCTTTCCTTCTGGGGATCTGGGACTTTGGTATATGTTAGCCTATGTGATTGGCCCCTGATAAAAATCTTGGGTTCTTCGGCTCACGTGAGGTTCCCTGTAGACAATATTTCCAATGTGTTGTTACAGTTTATTGTTAGAGGAATTAAGCATGTCCTGTGTGACTCCCCTGGGAGAGGAGTCATGAGAGCTTGTTCCTGGTTCCCTCCAAAGTTCACCTGTGGGCCTTTTTCCTTTGGGGATTGTGCTTTATGTCCTTTCACTGTAATAAATCATAGCCATAAGAATGACTACATGGAGTCCTGGAGTATTATGCCATTATTCTCAAAGCCCCTCCATTCATTGCTTTACTGCTTGTATTGCTGCCAGCAACGTGGGGCAGAATCCTTGCCTTAATCACCATTGTATTCCCAGTACCTGGCACAGAATAGGCTCCCAGTAAATGTCTGCTGAGTCCTTTTTCTGACTTAAAATTTATTCTCCAGTGGTTTTGGAAATCAGAAGTCTGAAATCAAGGTGTTGGCAGGGCTGTTCTCCCTCTGAAGACTCTAGGGAAGGAAGGATCCTTTCAGGCCTTGTGGATGCAAAGGGGCCACATGCTAATGTCACTAACTCAGGGAAGGCCTGCCTGTTGGCCTTGCAAACTCAGAGACCTAAAGTAACCACAAAAGATGGTCTGAAATTAAAACCTTTAATTTAAAAGCAGTTTATAGTGGGTAGTCATGTCCTAGGTGGCTATCTTCCCTGACAAAGACCACTTGGATCTTTACTGAGCCTATTGTATTTTTGCATCTAGATAACATACCTGTGGAATGTCATAGTAACTTGTAACTTCCCTTTTTCCAGACCCCTCAGGACACAACCAATGGCCAGGGCACCAGGACAGAGACCCAGAGACCGCACATCCCCTCATTCTTATTGTTATCTTGTTATGAAATGCAGTTGCTATTTTGTATTTTTTTTCCTAAAATTGAATTCTATTATATCTATAATACTATCAACAATAAAAAATACTTCAAAAAAGAAGTATGTGTCTCTCATTTTACTTTTTTATCCAATCCCAGAGATTTCCCCACGTTGCTTTCTCCCGCCTCCCTAATCTATCACCAATAGATTTCATGTAACCCACTTACGTCTCCTCCTTTTATTGTAATGTATAAAACAAGGTGAAAAACTGCCATCTCTGGAGCATTATCCCAATACGTTGAGATTCCGCTTCCTGGCAATTGTCGACAGCTTGGCTCAAAGAAACTCACAAAAATTCTTTACAGGTTTGAATGTTTTCATACATTAACAGCCTCTTCTAGCTTCAGGTGGTTGGTGGTCCATAGCTTTCAGATGCATCACTCTAATTTCTTCCTCCATAGTCACATGGCATTCTCCCTGTGTGTGTCTATTTCTTCTCATAAGGATACTAGTGAGTGGATTTAGGGCCAACCTTAATCTGGTATGACTTCATCTTAACTTACATCTTAAAGACATAATTTCCAAATGAGGTCACATTTACAGGTACCAGGGGTTAAGACTAGAGTACTTTCTTAATGAAAGATGATATGGAACCTAGTATACCTTGTACCACACCACAAATAAGCAATCAGGACCCCTACTCTGGGTTCTGAGCCAGGGGAGCCCATGCTTTGGGTTGCCTTTCTTAAAGTGGTCTATAGTCCCCTCTAGCGACTGGGACTGGCTAGGGCCATAAGTACCGTTTGAGTGAGGCACCCTGAGTCTGGACCAGGACCTAATTGGGCCCTGATCCCCACTTTTCCTTTTTAGAGGGGTTTCTCTTACCTTCTACCCCATGTATGGGAGCAGACAGTTCCCCTGATGAACTCTGGTACTTATACCTATGGGGCTGTCCCAGGGCTCTCTGGCCAGCTCCAAGGGGTGTGACCTAGTAAATGGTTCGCTTCTGCTGGCTAGTATGGCTTTCTTTCACAGGATCACATGAGACTGGGCCATCAGTATGGTGGTGACATGCTGATTTTGAGTGATTCACTCATGTCGTTCACAGGCCATGTTCAAAGCCCCGGGTCTGAACAGGCCACTGCCAACCTTTGGGCTTGAGCTGCACTCGTAGGCCCATGTGTCAGCTCTCACATGTCCGTATTCCAACTGTGGGGCTACCTCCTGTCTAGAGCACCCAATGGTGGGCAGAAGGCTCAGTGTCTCCCCTTGCCAAATAAGGTCACATTCACAGGTATCAGGGGTTAAGATCGAATAATTTCCTAATGAAAGGAAATTATTCAAGTTTTGCCACTGGCCACCCGGCTGGCATGGTTCAGTGGTTGAGCATTGACTCATGAACCAGGAGGTCATGATTCGATTCTAGTCAGGGCACATGCCCAGGTTGCAGGCTTGATCCTCAGTAGGGGGTGTGCAGGAAGCAGCCAGTCAATTATTTTCTCTCTCCCTCTCCCTTCCTCTCTGAAATCAATAAAAATATATTTAAAAAAAGAAGTCTTGCCCCTGGCACCCAGGGCAAGTCATTCCCTCCACAGGCTGTCCACCGGGCATCAGGCCATGTCTACCTCCTCTAATGACTTTTGAGACTATAGCCCCGCACCTCCAATGCAGTCTCTTGGCTCATCAATGTGGGGGGTGTCATGCTTCTGCAGGTCAGTCTCAAGTCATGCCAGATAGGAATGGACATTCTTTGCACAAATGGGACTTCTCATTCTGCCAGAGCCCCTTGCTTTCCTCCCAACTGCTGATGGTGTGTGGAAAGCAAGGGCGCAGTCAAGCTTGCATCCTAGGAATGCAGGGATTATTGTTTAAAGAGTTCAAGAGAAGAGCCAGTTAGAGGGTGTGTTTTTCTACATTTAGGCTATAAAATTCCAGACAGTAAATTTAACATGACCAGAAAATGAAGTCTTGTTCACATTTTCTTGCTTACTCTGCATCATGTTTGCTTTTGTGGTCCTTATCAACAAAGCATCGTCACAATTTCTGAAGGAGGAGGCATTGTTGGAAGCCAGTGTTTATGGGCAGCCCAACGAATGGTGCAGTGACTGTCACAGGTAAGACATAACCAGCATTAAATAAATGGCATTAGGGACATACAGAGGCAAGCAGATCTTTATTTTCCCAGTATAAACAGGTTCTAAAGAGCCATGGCATTGCGAGTAAGAAAGGTGTTGCTACCCTCTTGTGGTGGGAGATGAAGTTAGCCAGGAATGTCACATCTGACAATGAAGAACATCAGGAATATAAGGAGATGGTTCCTGGCCCTGAACAGGAAGAGTTGGAGCCTGGACACTGCGAGGATTCCTCAGGTGCATTAATTAGACAATAAACAAGTAAGGAGGTACTTCTTCTTTGCACTTTGTTCTAAATCTTCATCAATAAATCACAATAGCCCGGTCCTCGTGGCTCAGTGTTTGAGCATCAACCTATAAACCAGGAGGTCAGGGTTCGATTCTTGGTCAGGGCACATGCCCGGATTGTGGGCTTGATCCCCAGTGGGGGACATGCAGGAGGCAGCCCATCAATGATTTTCTCTCATCATTAATGTTTCTATCTCTGTCCCTCTCCCTTCCTCTGAAATCGATAAGAAAAAAATCACAGTAGCTCATATGGACCCATGATTTTGTAATAGATTTTTATTCAAATTATTTATATAGTCACAGGTCTTGTGAAAAAATATTTGTCTAGGGCCCCACACACCTTAGGGGCAGTGTGGTAGGCAGCCTCCGAGGTCGTCCCCCATCGCCCCCCACCTCCCGCCCCGCCTGCTAGTGTTCATGCCCCTGTGTAATCCTCTCCCTTTGGGTGTGGCCTGAATTTATGGACTCATTTCTAACAGAGAGAATACGGTAGAAAGGATGGGATATCATCTCTGAGGTTAGTTTATAAAAAGATGGCAGCTTCCATCTTAGGTGTGCTCTCTCTCTCTTCTTGGTTCTCTCCCCCTTTTCCCTCCCTCAGTTGGAGCCAGCCAGGGTAACGAAGTCCAGGCTGTCCTGCTGGAAAAACCATATGGAAAAGCAAGGCCCTGGAGGATGAAAGGACACATGGAGGGGAGCCGAAGCACTCCAGCCAGCAGTCAGCATCAACCACCAACCATGTGAGTGGGCCTTCTTGGCAGTGGACCCTGCGGCCCCAGATGCAAATTCCTGACAAACCCTGAGCCACAACTATCCAAGCCAGCTGCACCCAGATTCCAGACCAATAGAAACTGTGAGATAATACATGTTTGTGGTTTTAAGCCATTCCAAGAAAAAAATGTTAGATAAAATGTCTCTAAGACCAATGATTAAACCTATTTCCCCAAAGATGTCAGTGAATACTATATCTGAATTATAAAAATGGGTGACAAAATGGATGAATAATTTTTTCATGAAGAAAAAAATATTGAGATATATAATAATCCTAAGACACAGCATACATAATATACCAAGAATATTGAGTAAGAGGGCTCAGTAAGTCTGGAGTAGGTTCTAAACATATATTTTTATTTAAATATATTTTTATTGATTTCAGAGAGGAAGGGAGAGGGAGAGAGAAATAGAAACATCAATGATAAGAGAGAATCATTGATTAGCTGCCTCCTGCACACCCCCTACTGGGGGTCCAGCCTGCAACTCGGACATGTGCCCTGACTGGGAATGGAACCATGACCTCCTTGGTCCTAGGCCTATGCTCAACCACTGAGTCATGCCCGCCCAGCACTGATAATTCTTTGCTGCTGTTGTCTTAGATCCGTGGTCGGCAAACTGCGGCTCTCGAGCCACATGCAGCTCTTTGGCCCCTTGAGTGTGGCTCTTCCTAAGCCTTACGAGTACCCTCATTAAGTGAATAACAATGTACCTACTTATATACTTTAAGTTTAAAAAATTTGGCTCTCAAAAGAAATTTCAATCGTTGTACTGTTGATATTTGGCTCTGTTGACTAATGAGTTTGCCGACCACTGTCTTAGATCATCAGGCAAAGTACCACCAAGACTGTCAAATATAGGAAAACTCAATGAAAATGTTTTATAAGAGTTTTGGTCAGTTTTTCCTCTGAGTTTTGACATTTTTATGAAAAGCAAAGGGTACAAATCTCCAGGGGATTCTCATAAAGCATGCACTTTCTAAGATATTTATGTTAGCATTTTAACCATACAAATGTAACCTAAGGAAAGCTGAGGATCTCTCCTGATTGGCCAGCTCTTCCCATGCAATTCATCAATAGTAACACGTCAAATAAGCTGAATTAATTCATTTCTAGCATTTTTTTAATAAGGCGAAAGAAGAGATCTTTGTGAAGGACCCTGTTTGAAATCTCAATGATAGTTTTAGGCGCAAAAGAGATCCGGAAAATTGAATTTTATATTATTGTTTTTTCAATATTTAAGTCCGATTTGGGCACTTGATAAAGATAGGATCACAGGTGTCTGAGAAACAATACTGGGCACCTTTTGTTTGTTTGTTTTGTTAATCCTCATCCTAGGATACTTGTTCCATTGATTTCTAAAGACAGTGGCAAGGAGGGGGGGGGGAGAGAAACATCTATGTGAGAGACACACAGCCACTGGCCACCTCCCACATATGCACGGACCGGGGAGGGATGAACCTGAAACCCAGGTACATCTCTTTGACTGGGACTCAAACCCTCCATCCTTCAGTGCGGGAACCAACGCTTTAACCACTTAGCCACACTGGCCAGGGCAATGTAAGTAAAGCGACAATAAAACATAAAAAGGAACATAGGAGCCGAAACCGGTTTGGCTCAGTGGATAGAGTGTCAGCCTGCGGACTGAAAGGTCCCAGGTTCGATTCCGGTCGAGGGCATGTACCTGGGTTGCGGGCACATCCCCAGTGGGAGATGTGCAGGAGGCAGCTGATCGATGTCTCTCTCTCATCGATGTTTCTAACTCTCTATCTCTCTCCCTTCCTCTCTGTAAAAAATCAATAAAATATATATTAAAAAAAAGGAAATAGGAAGCAATACTATTGTAAAAAACAAGTGAGAAAACTTTGTTCTTTTTATTTTTTCCTTCAAAAATCAATAACAATAAAGTCCATATAAAGCACACTATCTAGGCAGATTAGATTGAAAGGAAAAATAACAGTTCATGTTGTGGGCTAAGGCAATAGACGGCACACCACCAAGGAGATGAGCACACAAGCCCATCAAAATTGAACAAACTATGATAGCAACACAGCTTCATTCAAAACTCAGGTATTAACCCTGGCTGGGTAGGTCAGTTGGTTTGGGCATTGTCCTGATATGCCAATGTTTCGGGTTCCATCCCATCAGGGCACATACAAGAATGAATCAACCAATGAATGCATAAATAAGTGGAACAAAAAATCTCTCTCTAAAATCAATAAAAACATATTTTTTTAAAGTTCACAAAATCATGCTTAGTAATCAGTGTTTCTGTTTCCTACCTGATATAGAAATGATCTGGGCATATAATGAATCCATTAATTAACTCAATCTAACATCAGTCTAAGTTCTCAGTTACTTAAAGATCTTGGAGCCGAAACCGGTTTGGCTCAGTGGATAGAGCGTCGGCTTGCGGACTGAAAGGTCCCAGGTTCGATTCCGGTCAAGGGCATGTACA